ATAGATTGGTTCGTTGCAAGTATATTTACTAAGGATATTCTCGGGACGGGACGCGTTTAGTTCACCATCCGTGTGAAATTCCCCATGAAATCTCGTGGAGATTGCGACGGGGATTCCTGGAATTGGGTTTACCGCTTTTAAGAAAATTTCTAATTAATTGTTTAATTTCTAATAATAAAATTTTATTTAGACGTCTGATCTTCATCTATATATATATTAGAGGGTTAAAAGAAGAATATGGTTTGTTTAGTATGTATGTATAGAGAGAATAATAAATTGTTTTTTAACCATGTATGTACGTATATATATATAAGTGAGACAGTACGGGGACGAGGAACGGGAACAGAGAATATTTGGAGTAACATTATTTTTTTTTAGTTGACATTTTCTGCATCATAACTATCAATATAGTTATTGTGAAGAAATTATACACCTACAGGAATTGACCTTGGACATTTTTTGTTTTGTAAAATGTATGTATAGACACCTAAAATCAGATCAAAGTTGATTATCTAGTTGTGCTAGAATTTTTTAAAAATGGATGCTCTACTTTTAAAAGTTTACTGATAAAAATAAACATTTTAAAAATACAGAAATTAAAATAGAAAAAGTTGAGAGTATTAAGACTAAAATGAATTAAAATGTCTATTGACATTATTTAAAGGATTAATTTGATTTAATTAAAAATTCAGTGAATCATTTTGGGTAAAAATTGAATTTTGTTTCAAAAATAATAATAATAGACTAGCGATAAAAATTGAATGTATTAATCTAGTTTTTAATGAATACCGTTTCCCCTCCCTCCATTTTCACTGTATTCCCTCTCAAACTGCACCGCGGTACTCTCCGGATGTCGCCGCCGTTATTCTTCCCGCCGGCGTCTCTACGAACTTCTCTCCATCTCTCGAATCTTTTCCCTCGATGCTGATTTGCCCGTCTACCCACTTCGGCCGTTCTCGTCTGCTTCATTCCCTTTCCTTCAACGCCCTGAAGGCCTCCGCCGCAGCGGGTTCCTCTCACAGCCTCGTGATCAAGTTGGGTTTGGTTAATCAACTCTCTGTCCAGAACAAAGTTTTGGGATTATATGTCAGATGCAAGAAATTCAAAGATGCACGGAAACTGTTCGATGAAATGTCTAGGCGAAATGTTGTGTCGTGGAACACGGTGATTTGTGGGCTTGTCGATTGTGGGTATGGAGGTGAGTTTAAAACGAGGCAGCATCCGAATATTTCGTTTTTCAAGGAGATGTTGCTGGCGAGGGTAGACCCGGATGGTGTAACGTTTAATGGGTTGTTGCGGTCTTGTGTTGTGTTGAACGATGTTGAAAGTGGTAGGCAATTGCATGGTCTTGTGATGAAAGTTGGGTTTGATTTGGATTGTTTTGTGGGGAGTGCTGTGGTAGACTTTTATGCAAAATGTGGGTTATATGAAGATGCAAGATTAGCTTTTGGCTGCATACTGTATAGAGATCTGGTTTTGTGGAATGTGATGTTGTATTGTTATGTTTTCAATTATTTGGGGAGAGGGGCGATTGAAATCTTTTATTTGATGCAGTTGGAAGGCTTTAGAGGTGATGATTTTACATTCAGCAGCCTGCTCAGTTCATGCAATTTTATAGGATCAGGGGAATTGGGTAAGCAGATTCATGGTCTTCTTATAAAACAGTCATTTGATTTAGATATTCTTGTGGCAAGCTCACTTGTAAATATGTATGCTAAAAACAATAGTTTACATAATGCCCGCAAGGTTTTAGATGAAATGCCGACTAAAAATTCTGTGTCTTGGACCACTATGATTGTGGGGTATGGGCAGCAAGAAGATGGGAAGGAGGCAGTGCGACTGTTTGGGAGAATGTTTCGGGAAGATTATTGTCCGGATGAGTTAACTTTTGCTAGCGTGCTGAGTTCATGTGGCTTTATATCTGGGGCTAGTGAGCTGAAGCAAGTTCATTCCTGCTTGCTAAAATTTGGTTTCGAAGCATTTTTGTCGATTAATAATGGTTTGATAACTGCATACTCTAAGTGTGGTAGTGTGGCTGCTGCGTTACGATGCTTTAGCTTAATTGCAGAGCCGGATTTGGTAACATGGACATCGATAATATGTGGTCTTGCGTTCTGTGGCCTTGAAAGGGATGCGGTTGAGTTGTTTGAGAAGATGTTATCTTATGGCATTAGACCAGATAGAATTGCCTTTCTTGGAGTTCTCTCTGCCTGTAGTCATGGGGGATTAGTAAACATGGGGCTTCACTACTTCAACTTAATGACGAATGGGTACCAAATTGTTCCCGATTCAGAGCATTTAACATGCCTCATTGACCTGATCGGTAGAGCGGGTCTTCTAGATGAGGCTTTTGATCTTTTGAAATCGGTGCCAAAGGAAGCTGGATCAGATGCTTTCGGGGCATTCATTCGGGCATGTAGAACTCATGGTAACCCAAGGTTAGCCAAATGGACCATGGAATTTTCATCAGAGCCAAAAGAACCTGTGAATTACTCTCTAATGTCGAATATGTATGCTTCTGAAGGTAGCTGGTCAGACGTGGCGAGAATGCGCAAACTTATGAAGGATAGTTGTGAACGGAAATCCCCAGGCTATAGTTGGATAGAGATTGCTGGTTTTAACCATTTGTTCGTATCAAGTGATAGATCTCACCCGCAGTCTTTAGATCTTTATGTGATGGTGGGATTGTTACTAAACACGACAAAGAAAGATTACATTTCGATAGCGTCCAAGGTCGATCTTGCTCCCGAATGAATGCCGAAGCTCAATTGATCTCAAGTTTCTGTTGGAATTGCACATCCCTGTTCGATATTCGTCAAAACTAACGGTTAGATATTCACTTTTGGTCTTTAAAGTTTGCATAAAATATCATTTTTGTGTGGACTGATTTTACATGAATTATTTAATATAAATTGGAATACGTTATGAAATCTGAACACTCAGATCTACTATATCTGACTTCAACTCCTGTACATCTAGGCAATTCATCATCAAATAAAAAAATTAGTAACTTTGTTTAAAAAAAAAAAAAAAGTATAGTAACTATGACTAAAATAATTATTTATGCAAAGTTTCATAACTAAAGTAGAATATCCAAAAATTTAGTTATTGGCTTGAAATAGGTGGAAAAGAAAGAAAGGGAATAGTAGAATTGTTTATTTTTAGTGTTAACTTCCTGAATAGTTTAGGAACATATGGGCCATATAAATGAATATGATACTATTTAGGGCACAAGTAGGGCTCATCTCACATCTAGGGTTTTTTTATTCTAAAAGAACCAGCCATACAATTTGATTATTCCATTTGAAGTATCATTTTTATACACCTATTCAGTTCAGATTGCTTGAAAATTTATATTGATATTTGGGGAAATTTTGAGAAATACTCATTTGGAGCCCTGGTTTCTTTTCACTTTTCAGGCTTTCTGTTCTCAAGAACTACTTGTACAATTTGATTTCTTCCATTTAAAGTAGCATTTACTGTTAGACACCTTCTTTTAAATTAACTTGATTGTTCACATTGATTTTCAGTGATTGGACAGCTCTAAAAGCTCGTATCATCGACGATAAATTTTCCCCAAAATGAGGATGAGTCAATTTGGGTGCAAAGATGCAGAAAAAGGTCCAGAGACGTTGAAATATTTGATGTCTACAATCTTGAAACAGTCTGGATTCTTGCCTAATTTAAAACAAGCACCAAACTGATGCTTTTCTTTACGTTTCGGTCAATTTGAAACATCAATGAGTGTTCAACAACTCCCAGTCTCTGAAGACTTCCCTAACCAATTGAAGTTGAGTGAAAGTGTAACACTATAGCAATGGCCACTGAATTAATATGAATTATAGTTTGGATTTGCACATTGGTAGTACTGATATAACATGAAATTCCTGAGTTTACTTTGGAAACAGTTGAAGTATTTGGATGGAAATCCATTTCCCAAATTTGGTGACTATAAAACTCTAAGATCAAATTTACTTCTCATTTACCCCAAATCAGAGGGATCATTCTCTCTAATCTAAGTTAAGAATATTCACAATTCATGTCTTATTTTTCCTACCAAAAAAGAAAGAAAGAATTATGAAAGGGAAAGATCAAACCTGTGAGAGAATAATAATTTACAGCAATAATTCAAAAGCTATATCCTGTAAGTCTCCAATCGGGGCCGAAATTTACAACATCGCCTCTATTTTCTGCTTCTTCCTATACTCTTCTAGGCAACGAATCCTGCCTAGCCAATTCATAATTTACGTTCGAGCTTATTCCATTTTCCCCATTCGCAGCAACCAAATTGTCGCCATTCGAAACACTCGCTTTCGAACAGAGGAAGAAGAATGACGATGTGTAGATAGTCAAGTGCCAAATGCTGCAAAATATTCGACAAGCCGAAACTTAGAGAGAGATTGAGAGAGATCGAGAGAGAGAGAGGGGTTATGTGGTACCTATGCCAAATCCAGTAAGTTTCAGTGGTTTCCAAATTCCAGCTGATGGCAGCAATAGCCAATGCAGTGAAACCTGCAAGCATAAAGCCCCATCTGTATCTTCTGTAGAGAGTCTTGAAGAGATTATGCGCCCATGCTTTAATAGCTTCCCATCTGTGCTCAGCATATAAATTACTTTCAGAAGGCCAAAAGGGTAACACCATAATTTCACTCACGCGACCTTAAATTGCCTCTATTAATTAAAATAACACTTTTGGTTGATACACCATCATTAAAGTAACGATTTAGTTCTTGATTTTAGCTTGTAACACTTTAATCCATATTCTTGAACTTTTAATCTTATATATATAGATCGATAAACTAACGAAAAAGCAAATGTGTTTATAAATTACAAAAACTAAATCGTTATATAATAAAGATAGACACTTAAAGTAACGATTTAGTTCCTGATTTTAGTTTGTAACACTTCGGTCCATGTTCTTGAACTTTTAATCTTGTATATGTAGATCGATAAACTGACGAAGAACCAAATGTGTTTATAAATTACAAAGACTAAATCGTTATATAATAAACATGGACACTTAATTTTGATGAGGTTTTTTACGATAGGGACTACATCGCTATAAATTTTAAACTATAGAGATTAAATTGTTACCAATTTTAAAGTACAAGAACTAAATTGTTACAAATTAAAGTTTAGAGACTAAATTATTACTTTAATGAAAATATCGAGACTAAAAGTGTTTTTTAACCTAGTGTCTTAGTTGTTTCTGGTACAAAATACTAATAATTATAACTTATAAGTGAATGACTCATGTAAAGAAGATGTTCACCTTTGAAGCACATTCAAAGAAATTCCCATTGGAAGGGAGAATGATCGATACTTCGTCGATAACTCGATCAGCCATCCGACTAGAAGACCAAGCGCACCAATTGCCAACACAATAACGATATTGGAAGACCTGAAGAAGTTCAATATTTGGTCACAAATCACAATAACCGATTACTCTTTTCATCTAAAAGGAAGGCCACGTTTATAATTTTAGTCACCGCGTCGCCTTGGTTATAGCCATGAGAGCAGTTAGGATCGCGACAACAGTATGAATTGCCCTTTTATAAACTTCGTCAATTGTTGCCAGGTACACGAATGTGCTAACGACGGCCATGAAAGAGAGCCAGAAGTCCATAAACTGAAAAATAATCAGGTCATCAGAGTTTTATAACAGAATGCGTGCAAACAAACACAACAGTCAAATTCATGTCAAGGTTTTTCATGAAAATCGCACAGCGAATTAGATTTCTATGGTGGTTCGAAATTGTTGTATAAAATGTTCTGATAATCCAAAAAAATATATATAATGGCAATGGCTGATCAGCAATTAAGAAAAAATTACCTGTAAAACATTGAATGATAATGGACACCAAGTGCCCACATCACAAGCATGGTATAAACCACTTGAAATCCCACTTGAGGTGAACAGCACCCACTCTGCTAGAGCCTGCAAGAACAAACTTTCATGGTTTGTAAAGAAAATATTTTTGGAATTTAGAGGAAAGAACAATGAAACTCGTAGTTTGATTTACCTTTTGTCGAAGGGCCCAATAGGCGGGAAAAATAGCAGCAGCGTTCGATGCAATTAGCGCTATTGATTGCTGCACGTGCCCTGGCATCGGTTCCAAGCTAAAGGTTCAGGTTTGAAGGGGAATACAGTTTATACATAAGTTGATACTATCAGCCTACTAATTCCACAATCAAAATTTTCTGGAACTTCAGAATTTCTGTCCAATGCCATTGGCAATCCAATATTAAGCTGAAGTAACTTTTACCTTTATGGTTGACAATCTCAATGCTGCAATCAAAGCCTCCATGATTTCGGTCGCAGGAGCAATAGCTGGAAGGAAAACGATAACGACATTCAGTTTACCAAGCTGGGAAATTAAATAGCTAGAAGAGAGCATGAAAGTACACAGCGTGGGGGTCAATGAAGCTCACCTATATGATGTGACTCCACTAGCATCAAAAGCAAAATCACATCTTCCATGGGACGAGCATCTGTTTGGGCAACGCTCAAGCACGACTGACATAATAGTTTGATCTTCAGCCAGACTTCTGTTGACTCGATGCCTTAACCCGAAAGCCCAAGTTCCTTCACTGGCATATAAAATATGGAAATCTATATTTACATTGCTTGAATTGTAGAGGGAAAGGAATGCTGAGCCACCACTGTTACTGGTTTGGTTTTTATAACAATAATCCCAGTTATCAAGAGATGGTAATCCACCAAATCTAGCATAGACTTCACAATCCATTGTCATAGAAGTTGATAATTGGAAGTGAATATTTCCTCCGGCTGCGCCCCGAGGAACATCAAGAACAAAATAAGTCCAAGCAAACTTTTGCTCTCCATGATTTGAAGAGTTGCTTAGAAGAGGTTCAATAGCAAAGTTCGCCGATTCAAAGTACTGTTCTTTGATTGGCATATAATATGATTCGAATGGTGATGAACCTCTTCTGACAATCGCCTGCAGTCAGCTTGTCAATCAGTTAATGAATCCATAAAATTTCTTCAAGAATTTAGAAAAATGGAAGACACTAAATTGAAATGGATTTAGATCTCATATACTAGCAGGAAAAGTATATAAGCAACATGAATCAGGCTTGTACATTCATATTATGGTCGTTTACTTGCACTGGTACAACATCAAACTTAGATCTGAAACTGTTTATTTATCACTACAATAACAACCCATAGATGAATGTAGAAGTCAGTTTCGTTTTTCCTTGTTTCACGATGTATCCCATACCGAATCTCGATTTTAAACCATTTTTCTCCTTCAATTTGCAATTTAGCAATGGTGGCTTTTACAACTTTACTTCATTAATACTTTGTTTAACCAACATTGAAGTTTCAATTTCTAATATAAAATTCAAATACTCAATATTGTGATGAAATATTTATTTCATACTAGTGTTACTAAATATTGAAAAATATTTCTGAGAATCCTTTTTTGGACAAACTAATATTTAACATCAAAATTCAATCATTTAAACTACGAACTATAAAATAAAAGATCAATTCAGAAAGTAGTATGTAACCAAACTAATGCTCTATTGGAAGTGAAACTAATGAAACCATGAAAGGCTATATTTCTATATATGGTCTTACCTGGAGGACATATCGGTTCCATGTACAATTAGGTCCAGTCTTTCCATATGGGCATTGAAGCACGTATGATTCCATGGAGTAGCAAACCCTCGAATTGTTGACCGGAACCCTTCCAAGTTCTTTTGAGAGATTCAGAGGCATGATGGAGATATACCAGTGGCCTACTTTTGGAAAACGGATAACCAAAGGGCCTGTGTTTAAGTTACCAGAATAATCATGCAGGGCTTCCGAAGGAATTGCGCCATGACGAACGAAGCACATCATACTAATTCCACTAACATTACTAGAGTTATTGGACTGTGTTAAGTTGAGCCTCACATTTGTTGCTGAAATGGTCAGCTCTTCTGCAACACCTTCCAACTCCAAAGAGTACATTTTTTGTTCACCATCTCTAAGACAAGATGTTGTAAATGTACTCCTGCATAAAACCAAATTTTCGGCTGATCTGTTGTATGACATAGCATCTGAAACGTTTTCGACAAGATTATGACCCTCGGATAAATAACATGAGAGCGGATCAACTGTTTGATTGCAATATTGCCCGAACATTGTAGAGGGCGAACACCCTTCCACTGTAACATTGGCAGTGAAAGAAAATGATGGCCCTCGGATGATCTGCAATTCAAGGAGATTAGTTTCTGTCATTTCATTTCCTTTGGTTCCATAAAAAAATGATATTTTGCTCGTTGAAACAAATAAAACACATACACTCAACT